CATTGCAATGTTTAGTTGCACCCTCTGCCAATACACATTTTATGAATGTTACCAAGAGAGAGGCAATAACAGGAAAGTGCAGAAACCTCCACGACCAGGAACTGGATAGTGTACACTCATCACCAAATATTGTTAGCGTAATTAAATCGAGTAGGGTAACATAAGAAAAAATAAACACATGGAAGGATTTAGCTGGAATTCCTGTGAAGAATATACCAATTTGAAGGCCTGTGCTCAAATTAAAACATAAAGTGGAGCTAAAGGAAGTAGGATGGTGGCGGGGGAGGGGGGTATGAACTTTGTTCATATAGCTCAGAACAGGATCCAGTTGCGAGCTATTTTAAGCATATTGACAGAAAGGTGAATGTAAAGCTATCCCTGTAACAGGCCGTGGAGGTCCATAAGGTTGTGAGACGTTGAGGCTCCCACATTTTTTAGACAGTCGGCTCACAGTTAGCGGTGAGGTTGTGAGCCATACGCGCAGGCCATTCTTTACCCTCAGGAAGATTCCTGGTACTCATTTCTGATAGAGGCTGAGTCGACGCCAGGTTCATAGTGCGGCTGGAAGGATTAGGTCAATTTAAAATTTTAATGAACTCATCGGGAATCGAACTCGTCACATTCCGGCTTTTAGTATAGTACCTCAACCCACTACACTACCAAGCGCAGTGATAAACCTTTTGGTTACACGAAACGAAAAGTTCTTCTTGAGCTGCTAGGTGATTTGCAGGTCTTTGGCAAGCACTCTACTTCAGGGAAACGATGATTACAGCATGTAGCACCGAATGATGACGTTTGAGGGACTCGTGAAGGTAATTGGGCGCGGAAATGGGAGGAAGAGAAGATGTGGCGGATATTATAAAGTAACTGCAGAGTGGCATTAGAACTAAGTACACGTACCCTGAAACCTAATGGACATTTGAAGCTCCGTTGAAGAGGGGTCGATTTGAACAGGTGAAAAAATATAAGAAGAAATCTCACGTCCATTTGCAGTCGAAACATTTGGCTGGAGAATCATAGAAAAACCATGAAAACTCTCAGTCAGGGTAGCCGGTAGCGGGACCGATCCCGAACACGAAGAAAGAGAGATAACCGACACAACTCAACAAAATTTATCATAGTTCTTTTGAGGGAGTATTGAGAAGTATTTTCCTGATGAAGATATATGCCACTATTAAAGTTAAGATGTGACGTGTATATAAA